TTTTTTGGGGGGGGGGGGGTTCATTCTCATTATTACAGTTTGAATGAGCCCTACATGCTCTTCATTTTCTATTGTTTCTAACACTGCTCTCTCTCTCTCCTGGTCTTCCTCCCCCATCCTGCTATGTTCATAAGTCTTTGCTCCTGCAAGATTCTATTTATATCTGCACATGCAGTGTTGACTGAAACCATGTTAGCTTTTTTTTAAAAGCATGACCAAACATCTCCCCTGCATTGACTATAAAAAATGCTAGGTTTGTTTGTTGACCAAATACGCCATTCAGTCCTTCATATAATACACTAGCTAACAACGGCCATAAAAAGTCTAAAGTTTTACTAAACCAACCAACAATCCCTCCTGCTGGAGCATCGACTGACTAAAGCCACCATTTTATAATAGTAGAGTGCATCCAAACAATTACAAGGGGCATTGGTAGATGCAATAATCAAAGCTCAAGCGATTAAGCCTGAGAAAACAAGCTCAAGGCACTTTGAGTTCAAATAATGTCAATGTTAGGTCTATATCAAATCCACCCTTCCTAACCCAACACCAGCATAGGTAGTAGGAACAACACTAAGAATGGTTTTTTTTTTGTACGATTCACATTTTTTTCCTGCATGTAAAGGCTGTCATTACCCAGTTTCATAAGGGATGATAAGTTGATCTTGTTATGGATTAGATCACTAAATGGAGTATAATTAACAGATAATCTCAAGTAAATGCCATATACAATCTAACCTGAGTATCATAGCCATCAGGAAGTTTGACAATGAATGAATGGGCATTGGCAACTCTAGCAGCTTCTTCTACCTCAACTAGACTTGCGTCAGGCCGACCTAAGAGTATATTTTCTTTAATGGTGGTTGCAAACAGAGCTGGTTCTTGGCTCACAAGCCCAATTCGCTGCCTCAGCCACCTCAGCTTTAATGCCTTTATATCATGCCCATCCAGTAGAACTTGTCCTGCACCGCTACTATTTATTAACAGGGATTTTATTCATTCACACATTTCTTCAGACACTTGGACTACATGAACTCAGAACCAGAAATAAATCCAACTGGCAGAAGAACATTAAAGTTGTTTATATAAAATCAGTAAAGCAATTATATGCAGAAAACACAGGGCAATTATTGTGAAACAATTGTATAGAATTACCTGAATTGGGATCGTAAAATCTCTCGATGAGCGAAACTACAGTGCTCTTGCCGGAACCACTGCTTCCGACCAGAGCTATGGTCTTTCCGGCTGGGACACTGAGGGAGAAATTTTGAAGTACTTGGATTTCTGGCCTTGATGGGTAGGAGAAACCTACATTTTTTAGCTCTACTTGTCCTGTAACAGAGTCTAATTCCAAACCCAATTCACTGTTTCTATCAACATCTGGTCTGTGATCGATTATACGGAAGATTCTGGCAGCTGCAACTCTGGCCTTTGCAAATGCAGTCATACTTGGGGCAGATTGTCCTAAAGCCCTGTCAATCAAAAATAACATTTAAGCACGAATTTCAATTCGAGATGTACAATGAATGAGAGGGCGGCCTTAGTGCATCCATAAGCTTATTTCATTGTGACTTTTCAGTAGCGCAAACACTCTCTTTGCACACTGCAGTGTCGGATGTCTCGTACACTAGGCCGCCCGCCATTTATACATACAATGTAGGATATATGTGGAAGAGTACTTACAGGCCACCTATCATAACAGCAAACATGGTGGCTATGGCGAGTCCTCCATTGGTGAAGTGGTGCCTAACCAGATAACCACCATACCAAAGCAGAAGGGCATAACAACAGAAAACAGTGAAGTATGTTGCCCCAAGTCCCAATCCCTTGGCAAATCCACTCTTGTAACCTAGCCTCTGAGCGATCTTCAATGCCGCAGAATAGGCTTGTAATGCTCTTGATTCACCAACAAACGCCGAAACCATCCGAATTTGAACTACTGTCTGCAATTCAGCTTAAAATTAGCAATACCCAGATGCAAAAATCAGAAAAAAAAATTTGCTGAGTTTCAATTCAGTCAGTCCCAAGCAAACAAACCAAAAGAAAAAATTTCACCATATAATGAAAATTTCACTTTCTCTCACCTGTTCTGCAATGTTTCCGGCTTCTGAAAGCGCTTCCTGGCTCTTGGCAGAGAGCTTGGCTAATGTGGTGGTGTGGATGGCTCCAATTACAGCTATGACAGGAACAACAGCTAGAGTGACAAGAGCTAATTGCCACACAGCAGTGAAACCCACCACAAATCCAGACACAAATGTTGCCATATAGTGTATGAAATTGCCCAACTGTATAAAATTTAAAAACAGTATCAGAACATGAAGAACAAAGCAGATTGATCTTTTTCTTTCTTCATCTTTATCTTTACCTTCTCGCTAATGGCGTCTTGGACCATCACTGCATCAGTGTTAATGGCGAAAACAACATCCGATGTTCGAACCTGTGTGTCAAAGTACTGAATATCTTGATTCAAAGCTGCTTCTAAATACTTAATTCTCATTTTAGTAGATTGCCTCTCTCCAGTCCACATCCAACAAGATATCTCTGCAAACCATTCAAGTTGGTACCAATTCAATCACAAAACTTTTAAGACCACCAACCAAATGAAACATGTTATTTTCACCTCACCTGCCCATGAAGATGCCCATATTGCAGCTCCCACTACAAGAAAGTAAAATGCATACTGCAAAACCACAAGAGAGAGAGAGAGAGAGAGTTACTTTTTCTTGTCAGCATATCCTCACGAGCCTAAAGTTTTGGAATTGTATTTACCTTCAAAACTTCTTGTGTCATCTTATCAATGTTGTTGGCATTAGCCCCAAAAGAATTAACAAGATCAGCGAAAAATCGAAGAAACAGAGGCAATGAACAGCCATGTACAAAGGCACCAAGTGTTCCGATTCCCATCAAAACATAGTCCAATTTATCTGCAAATCTGAAAAGCTCACTAAACTTAGCTGAGGGAGGCACTGAAGCAGGCTTTTCTGCTTCACCACCTTCTTTCTTTCCATCAGACACGTCCATCTCTTTTCTCTCTCCTCCTCTGTTTTCACTCTCTCCACCCAATTCTTCTCTCTCCTCGTCTTGGGCTTCTCTTGCTTCTGTGTCTGTTGTTGTAGTTGGTTCTGTTGTAGGTGTTGGTGATGGGTTGCCTTTAAAAGAGGTTTCTGAATGAGCAGACACAAGTTCAAGACCTTGCATTTCCGACCACCTCCACTGCTCTATCGTCTTTATCTCGTCAGAATCTTGTGACATTTCTTTACATTTACAAACAAACCCACCACCACCCTCTTTATTTTTCTCTCTCCTTGACTTTGGAGCTCAGTTTTTCTTCCTACTTTTATTTTTATCCCTCTATAATTTACTCTCATTTCTTCACCATCTCACAGAAAAGTAACAACCGTTTGTTATTTATTTTATTTATTTATTTACAATTGGGTGGTTTCTTCAGTTGCTTCTTCTGTAAAACACAGACAAACAGAGGAGTTGACGGATGATGAGATGATGACCACAGCCTAGAGAGAGAGAGAGAGAGAGAGAGAGCACCGCCCCCGACAAGGAATGTGAAAACTTGAGATTGGGTTTTTGACCAAAACAAGTTCTAGGTTTGAAGTTAAAAAAAATGTATATATTATACATACGGACTTGACATATGTGTATGTATTTGTATAAATATAACATATAGTTTATATTTTTTGACTTTGAAGAACTGTGGGTTTTGAAGTCTTGAGGTTTTGGATTCTTTTACAAGTAAAAATGTTCAAAGGTTGCAGAAGAAGGTTCATGTTCTTACCATACTTCTCTGTCTGCCTCCTTCAAATCCGGCCTTTTCATTTTCCCTGTCTTGTACAATTTTTTTTTTTTTTTTTTTTTTAAACTCTTACAGATATCTACATGGTGTATTGATTTTTGACCACGAAGCTGATTATAAAGCAAGATTTGTTTTTCTGTAAATTTTTTTTTAGTTTTTATTTAATTGAAAGAGATGGATAAAACTGTAAATTTACTGGCTTTTTCTTTATAAATAAATTATGGATAGTAATACGGTATCAAAAATATTTTTTCAATGCCAAAAGATACTATTTTGAATTATTAAATTATATATTTTAAAGTGAAATTATAACTGATCAAACCAACTGGGGTAGCTTAGTTGGCCAAAGCCTCTCGCTTCCTATATGGCAAAAGCGTTACTCTTTGGTAGGACAAGATCTCAGTTGTTTGGATGAACTATATCCAAGTTTCTGGTATGTGTCTTGAATTTTCGGTGAAACACAAGTCTTGATCTAAATGATGTATGAGTTAAGAGACCAGTTCATACACCTAAGTTTTGTCTTTGATTCTACTCAGAGTCACAAGTTTGAGAGATATAAATACGTCTATACTCACTAAGAACAGACCATCCAATTTTCACATTTTGTGATCNTAGGTGTTGGTGATGGGTTGCCTTTAAAAGAGGTTTCTGAATGAGCAGACACAAGTTCAAGACCTTGCATTTCCGACCACCTCCACTGCTCTATCGTCTTTATCTCGTCAGAATCTTGTGACATTTCTTTACATTTACAAACAAACCCACCACCACCCTCTTTATTTTTCTCTCTCCTTGACTTTGGAGCTCAGTTTTTCTTCCTACTTTTATTTTTATCCCTCTATAATTTACTCTCATTTCTTCACCATCTCACAGAAAAGTAACAACCGTTTGTTATTTATTTTATTTATTTATTTACAATTGGGTGGTTTCTTCAGTTGCTTCTTCTGTAAAACACAGACAAACAGAGGAGTTGACGGATGATGAGATGATGACCACAGCCTAGAGAGAGAGAGAGAGAGAGAGAGCACCGCCCCCGACAAGGAATGTGAAAACTTGAGATTGGGTTTTTGACCAAAACAGGTTCTAGGTTTGAAGTTAAAAAAAAATGTATATATTATACATACGGACTTGACATATGTGTATGTATTTGTATAAATATAACATATAGTTTATATTTTTTGACTTTGAAGAACTGTGTGGGTTTTGAAGTCTTGAGGTTTTGGATTCTTTTACAAGTAAAAATGTTCAAAGTTTGCAGAAGAAGGTTCATGTTTTTACCATACTTCTCTGTCTGCCTCCTTCAAATCCGGCCTTTTCATTTTCCCTGTCTTGTACAAATTTTTTTTTTTTTTAAACTCTTACAGACATCTACATGGTGTATTGATTTTTGACCACGAAGCTGATTATAAAGCAAGATTTGTTTTTCTGTAAATTTTTTTTTTAGTTTTTATTTAATTGAAAGAGATGGATAAAACTGTAAATTTACTGGCTTTTTCTTTATAAATAAATTATGGATAGTAATACGGTATCAAAAATATTTTTTCAATGCCAAAAGATACTATTTTGAATTATTAAATTATATATTTTAAAGTGAAATTATAACTGATCAAACCAACTGGGGTAGCTTAGTTGGCCAAAGCCTCTCGCTTCCTATATGGCAAAAGCGTTACTCTTTGGTAGGACAAGATCTCAGTTGTTTGGATGAACTATATCCAAGTTTCTGGTATGTGTCTTGAATTTTCGGTGAAACACAAGTCTTGATCTAAATGATGTATGAGTTAAGAGACCAGTTCATACACCTAAGTTTTGTCTTTGATTCTACTCAGAGTCACAAGTTTGAGAGATATAAATACGTCTATACTCACTAAGAACAGACCATCCAATTTTCACATTTTGTGATTAATAATATTTTTTAAAATTAAAATTTATATCTCAAAAAATAATTTAATATTAAAAAATTATAATTTTTGATATTTCCTTCTGTATCTATGCCGTAATCTTCCTCAATAACTACTGTTTTTGTCCTTAAGCCAAAAAAAAAAAAAAACCTAAACCTTTGAAGTCCCCCAACACAATGAGTCCCAATTTCCCAACACAATGAATGCCAATTTCAATTCCACTAATCATTGTGTAAAAACCGTTTGAATCGAATCAAATCTGCACTACATTTTGTCTGAACCATTACTTACTTCTTACCCAAGTTTTTCCACTTTGTCAAAAAAAACCACCCCATCCTTCCACCATACATCATTGAAACTTCTTATAATTTCACTAGTTTTATGGATTTGGGTACAAGGTACTATGATGTCGATTCCAAAAGTATAAACACAAAACTTTATTCAGTCAAGTTGTCTATAAAAAAAACTTTTACACTCCGTTTTGGTTTGATAAAAAAATAGAAAGATAAATAATTAAAAGAATGAAAAATTTTAAAAATAGATAAAATATCATATTTGATAAGAAAAAAAAATAGGAAAAAAAGAAAAATAGATTGATGAGTTTTCCTTCTAACCACCAAAATCAATCCCTTCAAAATTAGAATGAAAGTGGATAAAAAGTTAATTATTTGTATTAAAATATATCCTATTTCNTTTTTCTTTATAAATAAATTATGGATAGTAATACGGTATCAAAAATATTTTTTCAATACCAAAAGATACTATTTTGAATTATTAAATTATATATTTTAAAGTGAAATTAGAACTGATCAAACCAACTGGGTAGCTTAGTTGGTCAAAGCCTCTGGCTTCCTAGTGGGAGGTTAGGAGTTCGAAATTCTCTGGGCGCAAAAGTGTGACTGCTTGGTAGGACAAGATCTCAGTTGTTTGGATGAACTATATCCAAGTTTCTGATATGTGTCTTGAATTTTCGGCGAAACACAAGTCTTGATCTAAATGATGTATGAATTAAGAGACCAGTTCATACACCTAAGTTTTGTCTTTGATTCTACTCAGAGTCACAAGTTTGAGAGATATAAATGAGTCTATACTCACTAAGAACAGACCATCCAATTTTCACATTTTGTGATTAATAATATTTTTTAAAATTAAAATTTATATCTCAAAAAATAATTTAATATTAAAAAATTATAATTTTTGATATTTCCTTCTGTATCTATGCCGTAATCTTCCTCAATAACTACTGTTTTTGTCCTTAAGCCAAAAAAAAAAAAAAACCTAAACCTTTGAAGTCCCCCAACACAATGAGTCCCAATTTCCCAACACAATGAATGCCAATTTCAATTCCACTAATCATTGTGTAAAAACCGTTTGAATCGAATCAAATCTGCACTACATTTTGTCTGAACCATTACTTACTTCTTACCCAAGTTTTTCCACTTTGTCAAAAAAAAAACCACCCCATCCTTCCACCATACATCATTGAAACTTCTTATAATTTCACTAGTTTTATGGATTTGGGTACAAGGTACTATGATGTCGATTCCAAAAGTATAAACACAAAACTTTATTCAGTCAAGTTGTCTATAAAATAACTTCTACACTCTGTTTGGTTTGATAAAAAAGTAAAAAAAATAAATAATTAAAAGAATAAAAAAATTTAAAAATAGATAAAATATCATATTTGATAAGAAAAAAAATAGATTGATAAGTTTTCCTTCTAAGCACCAAAATCAATCCTTTCAAAATTAGAATGAAAGTGGATAAAAAGTTAATTATTTATATTGAAATATATCTTATTTGTCTACTAATCATAACTCGTGTCTAAAGGCAAGATAAAACATAAAATTCGAGCGCCCAAAAAATCGATCTCAGTATATTAAATTTTTTCAACATGCGTATATTATTGTATATGAATAATGTTTGAAATAAAAATTATATTAACTACAAATTAATCAAATATTAAATAATTAAATATATGATAAAAATGAGTAATGTGATATTTTTAAGTGAAAAATATGTAAGGATAAAAATTCAAGTTACTATATGTTTTATTATATAGATACATCCTTTGATATATACATATATTATGTATACATGAATTTCATATATAAATACAATAATAAAAAATTTATTTATATTTTTTAAAAGAAATTAAAAATTAAAAATTAAAAATTAAAAAAATATATTTTTTTCATTTTACCAAATATAAAAAAATAAAATCAACCATTTTTATTTTACATCCATCTTACCAAATACAAAGAAAGGAAAGTGTATCACTCTTACTTTCCTTCCTTGAAAGATAAAAAATATATCGTTTCTACTGTTCATCATTCCTACCAAATGGAGTATTAGGGTGGTCTAGTGGTTCGGTTTATTTTTTGGTATTTCAGAGGTCTCAAGTTCAATCTCGTCCCACACTCTATAAAGGTTAGTTACTCTTGTCCCTTTGGAGACATGCACTAGACCAGCTCAAGCCACATGATCAGCTATTGAGCTCGAAAGAGTAGTCGGCATAAACTTGTACATCCTATAGAAAAAAAAAAATT